CGAACACGAACACGAACACGAACACGGGCCCGCTGGTTCTAGGAACAGGAGGGGCAGTGTTGTRTTCGATTCGGCACGGGGCCCGGGGTGATTCTGTGAGGCAATTCTTCTCTGCCGGGTGTCGCTGCCAGACGGACCGTGACTGKTCCGAGAGCAATGCTWAAGTGATRAGCAATGGTGGAGATTGTGAGCGGGGTCGGRGCAAWAGTGCGAGTATCCCCTGCTCCGTCTACAAAGGCGACAACGAAGTCCTTTCTGTTCTGTTTCGATGATTGATGTTTGTTGTTGTCCAATCCAATCMGTGGCGGTCGAGTCGAAGCGATGGTTTTTGATGTGAGGGGTACGTACTCATACGTAAGAGAAGTACCGTARCGCTAGTTGGTAGCAAAGGCAATGGCAGTTTTCACTTCCCTGGCGTTTTTTGTTTTTACCGGTTGGAATTCTACGACCTGTACAGAGTTAGTTTATTCACTAGCTACTCGTGACTAMTCATGGTTGTTATATTGCCTCACACAAGACACTTCAAGATGTTCTTAGTAGTACTAKTACTGGTGACAGCTACCAACCGACGCAATTGAYAAAATCAGGGACAATGGTCGTGGTTTGACAGTGGCTAGTAGTACCGTASCACTGCTAKAAGACGAGCAAAACCTGCTGGTTGGCAACCATGATGATGGCCGACRCTGGCGTGAAAGCAGWGAAAGTTGCGCAGTTTTTGTAGACTAATAGTAGTTGTATTGCCGGTGGTCCTGAATCGGTCGGCAAGATTCGGTTTAATAGTCAAAACAGCGACAGATTTCTAATATGCGGCCCTTGAGCTGCTGTTACTGGTGTGTCAAGGACTCGGTGTTCCTAGCACTAGTGGTAAAGGCATGGAGACAAGAAAGGATAATGCACCTGCTGGGGAAAGGGTTGCTTTTGCCAGCACGCACTCCAGCTCCCGATGCACCAACAATAATTCTTGCTGCCCCTCCAATTCCTGGTATCCACTAGAGACGCCAAACGCAGATTTCCAACCGACCCAAAATGTTGGCGTTGACACCGCTCGTCTATTCCATGATGGATGAAAGGAAGGTTTTTTTCCAAAAACTTGTGTGCCAATTCAAAACGCATTGCCGCCATTTCGATGCTTTTTCTGTTCTTGCTGTTGGCTGTGGAACATCTGTACTCGTAAAATGCTGCCGTGCAATGGAAACTTTGGCGTCTTCTCCCCTTGCACCCCGCGAGTGCGTCCTCCTCGACATTTCGTGACGAATTCGACATGGATCCACGATGCATCTGTCCATAAACGCACCCCTTCGTCGCATGGTCTTTGGTTTGGTGCAAACCAGACCGGGACAATCGCACCACCGGGGGGGGCATTCTTTCGTTTCGTTTCGCATCACGCACCCTCGCCAAAAATATATCTCATCCTTTGCTCCTTGTCGATGAAACTGCGATTCGATCCCCCCTGCAAACAACAGGAGCACTCGCAAACCTCTCCGTCTGGGTTGCGAGGAGGCTCGTCGCGCATGGAAGAATCGGTCGAGCTGGTCATGATGAACTGTACCAGCTGCTCGTTGGGGTCGTCGTCGTTGCCGTTGCCGTTGTTGTTGTTGCTGCTGCTTCTGTCGTTGTTGTTGCTGCTGCTGCTGCCAGCGCGCGGAACGGATTCGTCTCTGAAACGCTGCCGGTACGGATCCGCCGCCGCCTCCTCGCCCGTCAGCTGAAAGGAACGCTTTCCCTTCCACCGAACCTCTTCGAGATTCTCCCATCGCTCGTTTTCCCAGGGCTGCAGAGGCCGTTTGTATTCCGGATCGATCTTGGACTGGAGTTTCACCATGGCCCGTTCTAGGAACTGGGAATTCCAGCGGCCGTCGGTGTTGCTGCTGCTGCTGCTTTGGTACTCGTACCGTTTGGCTTGCCGAAGAACGGCTAGCTTGTACTCGTCGGGGTCGTAGATGGCCTCCCCCGACGACGACATGGATCCACGATGGTTCGGGTGRACCAAGAGCTGCTGGATGCAGAAGAAGAGTTCCGGCAAGGTGATGCTAGGATCCCATCTGATGGATTGCACCGCAACGTGTTTGTTTGGATGTTAGAAAGATARAGAGAAAGAAAGAAGCACAAGGCCATTAGTCAATGGGTCGAGAGGGAAACGAAAAAAAACGTGCAAGGTGTCCAATGGGCAGCCCGCCGCGGACGTCGGCTCGCCGGGCTCCGCACCGACAAAGGAGTGGCGTGTTTTGGCCGTTGCTGTACTCACGATCCCTCGAATTCCAGGAGMGTGCTGACGTGTACGTTTCCCTCGTAGACGTTCGGATGAAAGAAATCGTCCGGAAAGTCGCACTTGGGGGGCTCCTTTCGCTCGTATCCCTCCGCCGTCCACGTGACGAGCAGCGGGTACAGGCCGCCCTCCCAGTCCGTCCCGGAGGGACCGGGTATCCCGGCGATGATCTGGGAAACCGGCCCGGTCAGGTGCTGGATGGGCCGGTAGACGCAAAAGTCCCGAAAGTACGGCGGCTTGGAAAGGATCCAGCTTCGGAAGAAGTGGTCCGAGAGCCAGTTGTCCAGCAGCCGTGCCTTGAGGGTGTGGATCTCTCGGTCCTTCTGGGACAACCGCCGCTCCATGGCGTCGAGGCGATTCAYWATGGCGACGGCCGAGCCGGCGTCGTTGTCGGTCGTGCCGTTGGGATTCGGATGCGCTTCGGAGGCATTGTTGCGTGCATTGTCGCTGTTGTCGTCGTTGTCTTCGGTGAGTCCTTTCCTGCTCCTCCGAACGTCCCCGTCCGAGTCTCCGATTCCGTTTCCGAAAGTCCCGGAAGGACCGTTGTTGCTTTGGTTCTGTTGGTGCCGTAGCAACTCGGCCCTGATCTGGTCCATCTTGGAGGCCACCAGGAGCTCCGTGTGGAGCGCCACGCTTTCGGCGTTGTGCTGCGCGAGGCCGCAATGGGGTCCCTCCCAGCAACAGCCCTCGATCGGGCAGGAGACCCTCCGCAGCGGGCATTCGTTCCTGGCGTGGGCCTCGAATTCGGACAGCTTGCCGGTCCACGAGCAACCAACAGAAGGGTGTTTGCTCTTGCTCTTGCTGTTGTTCCTTTCGCCCTCGCTGCCGTCGTTGGTGGTGGTTCCGCTCTCCTTTGTCTCCTCTTCCGAAACAACCATGCACCYRACCTCCAGGTTGTCGATCAATTCCTTGAGGGCCCGGTTCGGCGGGACGCCCACCCCGACCCCCTCGATCATCGGTGTCCGGCAGACCGGGCAGTGCTCGTGGCCGCTGTCCAGCAGCGAAGCGACGCATCCTCGGCAGAAGGAATGCCCGCACGGATCCAGCACCATTGGGGTGTCGTAGACGGAGTGACACACCACGCAGATYAGGCTCTCGTCGAGGCCCCTCCCGTTGTTGCTGGCATGGCAAAGAAAATGTTCCGGATCGTAGCCCATGGTATTCTTGTTTGTTGTGGACTGGCTCGAGATTGTGTTTCTTGCGGGAGGAAATTGGATTGATTGGGATTAGATCAGAATGGTAGGGTTGCTAGTTGCTGTGCATATGGTTGGGTTCTGTTTGGGATGAACAGGGTTCGTGGGCAATGTGTGTCTTCACCAAGGAACGAGAGCGTACGAACTGATA